CTTGGAGCATTAGACAAATGACACAGGCAATAGGATGTTCAAAACATACGGCAATTATGGCAAAACAGTTACATGAAGAAAAGGGTATCTTGTCCTATCCTGATAAAAAGAAAGGAGTGCCATTACCAGAGCATACAATATCAGCGGTACAACCATTCTATTGTAATGACTAAGTCGAATAATGCTCGGGAAAAAAGACTTCGTCTCTGTCAAAAGAGACGGTTTCAAAATGCAGGTCCAAAAACGTTTACTCCTCAATAATTTAAAAGAACTATATTCATTTTTTAAAGATCGGAATCCAACAATGAAAATTGGATTCAGTAAATTTTCTTATCTTCGACCTGAAGAGTGTGTGTTAGCAGGAACCAGTGGAACACATTCTATATGTGTATGTGTAATCCATCAAAATGTGAAATTACTGCTCGCTGGTGCCAGACTGCAAAAATTACTTCCAGCATCTTCTGACTTTCCAGTAACATACAAGGAAATGTTATTAAATATGCGTTGCGAAGTGTCGAGTGAATCTTGCAACCTAAATAAGTGCAAAAATTGTCCAGGATTTGGTCCTATCCGCAACAAACTGCAAGAAATATTCGAGCAACATTGTGTTGTATCCATTTCGTGCTGTCAGTGGACAAATACTGACAGGTCCAATTTAGAAAATGTTGAATATACAGCAACACAGTTTGTAGATGAATTAGAAATCCAATTACCAAAGTTGCAAATTCACGATTTTATTGCAAGAAGTCAAAGCAGCTTTTTTAAATATTCTAAAGAAAATGTAGGACCTGATGAATTTGTTGTCGTCGGCGATTTTGCGGAAAATTATTCCTTTGTTATCCAAGACGAAATCCAAAATTATCATTGGTCTGTTGGATTTCCTAACCGTCTTGTTATGTTACAAAAATTATCTCCAGTAACGGATGTATATACTGGAGTTTCCGGTAGTTTTGGCCATGGGTTCTTAGAACTCATGGGTGTTTATTACAGAAAGATAAGAGTTCGTCGCTAGGGCGAACTGCGCTTCACTCTCGCCTTTCTTCTGCGGGTGAAGTCACAGTCTCGCAAAGATCTCTGAGAGAACGGGTCGATACTCTCTTAGGTATACCTTCGATTACTACATAAAGAATAAAGTATAATTTAAAAGTATTTATTGTCATATTTAATTCAACATACGTCCCGAAGCCACTACCATTTCCAACAGGTCCAACAAACAGGCGACAATACACACATTCATTGCGTGTTATCAGGTGGATAATTGTTTAAACCACGAAGACTTTGTAATTATTTCGGATTGTCTCCAACATGACAGCACTGCAGTCCATTTATACCAGAAGAAATTAGTGGAATTTTTGAAGGAAACACAATTTATTAAATCTCAATTTCTTTAAAACGCCTTGCTGCTCGAGCTAGTTTACAAAGACCGTTGGAAGACCAGATAACGACACCACAAAAATTATTTGATTGGGCAACTGCCAATATTAAAAATATACATTTGGAATTCAGCTCAACAGAAGAATATAAGAAACATTCGGAATTCTTGCTGGAAAGGCGTGGACTGGCTACAACAATCCGTGGAACACGCAATTTTCACTCATTTACACCAACTAAAGAAGTAACGCATTTAACTGCCCGAATGTATTCAGACAGTGAAAAATCAACAGTTGTAGCTGTTATGAGGTAAGTAATTTTATAACAAACAATTTAATCCGGTAGATGATCATTGGTACAATCTAACCATTATTCCTTAACCGAACCAAATCCCATTACAGGGACAACTTAAATGTGTATAATGCTAAGTGTCATTGACAAAGAATGAGTGTCCAATAACTGTTACACCTTCCAGCAGTCCAACACTCTATGTGTAACAATAGCAGGTATAGCCACTTGGCTGTTGCAGGCACGCGTGACTTGGCCGGTCGAGCCAGCGTGCCACGACGCGACGCAGCGTTCCATTCAATTAATTTTTATAAGGCCAATTTTAAAGTGTCCGTATTTTTAAAACTTGGTCCGTAAAGGGGACAAACAGGACTATATGCCCATTTTTTCAGATTTTTAAATATTTCCCCGCTATATAAAAATGACATTTGTTGTAAACAATTGCAAAATAAATAGTTAAAAAAATTTTTTTTTAATTGAAATAATTTTTATTTGATACTCCCATGGGTCTGCTACAAGTACCTAAAATTTCATTTTTATAACTTCCTTACTTTAACAGCTATTATTTATTGAAAAAAGTGAGCTCTATATTTCAAACAGATGTAAAACCAACAATTTTTAAAATTTTAAAAAATCCTTCGAGATACGTTTATATATCAATAAAGACTACAACATATTCAAATTAGTACAAAATCCGACATGGTACTCCGAAAGGTGTCCGACTTCGCATGGAATGACCCTTTTATTACTAACTGTGTAACGCGCATATCCCCACCCTGGGCCGCAAACCGAGCTTCGTCGCGACCCAGTCTCTGTGACCGGTGGTATCTTCTACTTCACTGAAATAAAGTTCGAGCCGTTCCACGCTCGATCAGAACCACTCTGGATCGCATCCACCCGTATCTATACAGGATGTCCCACCATAACAACTGTTCCGGCCACGGGGTAGGAAAGGCAAGGATGCTTTCTAGTAAGAGGACTGTGATCAACCCTTCAGCACCTACTCCAGAACTTCCTTAGAGTCAAGATTGGTAGAAAATATTTTGTCAGTAACGAAGGGAGTACATCAATGTGTGTTTACATCTCTCAGTCCGGGGATTTTGACGGTCACCAAAATTTATAGATATCCATAAAAACAGCTGGAGGAACTTTAGGCTTCCCTTGTTATTGTTGTAAAGTACTACCCAGCCGGAAAACATGCGCTCTACACCACGACACTGATATCATCGAAATCCACACCCACGATTAAGCCCATAGGCCAATTTCAACACTCTACGAACTTCACACAAACCAATCAGAAGGCAGCGAAATACCAACACCCCTACTCTACTGCATTTTCGATAATATATAAGGGCTCTTTCGCATTTTCTAATTACTATACATACCCAAGACTCGATAGTTTCTTCAGAGCTAACTCGTGAGCAATGCAGCAACTGTGAATTTTCGGTGATCTCGAGCTTCATCTTGCTGTTTCAACCCCAAAAAGTGTGTATCAGTGCATATCTTATCAAGTGTCAGCGGATCTTATCAAGTGAGTACAGTGCAACGTAAGAATTTCAAGTGTGTATGTTTCGTCGCGTAACCGTCGCGACTCATAAACCGTAGCATTCGGTCAAGTCATAATTTTCCTCATTTCTAAAGTTCGTTTCTTCCTTTTTGTTATCGAAATTGCAGCCCTTAACATTCTCCCATCCTCGACGGCTAACAGTAGGGATCGTAAAAATAAACTTCCAAAGTGGCCCGAGGCCGAACCTAATGGCCATTGTTTGGGTCACGTCTCGAGCCCCAAGCCCGACGGAGTTTTTCCTGTTGCGAAAACCTCTTCACCTCTTCCAAAAAAACCCCATGGACACTACCCACTTCGGACGGACTGCGTTTAGAGCACACGGAATGGGTAAGTGTCCGGGGATCTGTCATTCAATTGGCTGGAAGGAGGTACCAATTAGAAGCCGAAAATCATCCCCTAATTCTCCGAGTTTAAACAAAATGCTACGTCGCGTCGGGACAGAAAAAGAGAGGTTAGACATCTTCGAGCGCCTATCCAAGTCGCATCAAAACGTTTACCGTGAATCACTGTCTAACTTTAACATACACAACTCCAAATTCTTGTCAATTAAATAGTTAACTGTTAATTTCGATCAACTTCATTTTCCAATATCCCTTCCTCGGTAGTACGTAGTAGGGTACGATAACAACGCAGTGTCGTACAAGCGGAGTCGAGTATTTACGACCCTTGTAAGCGCGAGCTGCCACGGTTCGTATCTCACCGCGGAGTGTCGTAAAAAGAGTGTAAATATTATAAAGTTGCCCAGAAAAGATTTGTGAATTACTATTTTTTTAATTTTCAGATCATTTTATCCCCCAAATGAGCAATTACGGCAGTGACGATGATGTTGTTTCAACTACAATGAAGCGAAGACGTTTACAAGTACCTACTGTCCTCCGCTCACTTGAAGTCCCACGAGACGGCACAGGGGCAAGGGGAGTCGGACCGCCCATTTATCTGTCTTGCTCACTTGCTCTCAGGCAGTCCACATGTGTGTGTAACTGCCGCGACGAATAGCGAGCTAGAGACCAATGTGTGCGTGGGAATACGTGTGCCCCTTCTACTTCCCCCGCATTCCTTCCGCGGGACTTCAAGTGAGCGGAGGACAGTACAGTGCTGTCTCTCAAATAGCGCGCGTTTTCGGATCCTCTATAGACGCGAAGCTATCCCCACTACTTCGTTTGTAATCACCGCGCCGCCGAGGGGAGACCGGTGCCGAGAAGCTATTAACTTTTTTCGACCGCGCCGCGACATCGGGTTTCGGATATCAAACAGAAAGCCGAAGAAAAGTTCATAACCTTTCTCAATACATAGTGACACACCTGACACTCTGACTGCGTGAACCGTCATACGAAACTGATCTAATTTACAACTTACTCGTAATCTATTACTTGTCTCTAAGCGTTTTAATAATGATTGTTATTATTATTCTATATAGTAATTTATAAGTACATATGTAATATACAGGATGTTCGGTTGGAAGTGTTATTCCTAATTGCATTTAGATTTATTGAGCAGGAATCTTCAATTATTGATAACATGTGATAATCATTAAATGCGCAGAGGCTGGTGACCTACGCAAATGTTTTTAAGGATTTAGTTTCATCGTCGAAGATACAGCGAGTTTTTGGAAGAAGTCTTCAACGACTCATGATTGGTCCCCACGTTGGTGAAGTTGGTGTTCTGTAAAACGGTTGACATTTAATTTCATCGTTAATGGTGAATTAAATTAGTGCGCACTATTTATTCTTACTGCAAATTTGTTTACACATATACCTTATCATTCTCAAAGTATTTAATTTTCTGGCAAGGCTTCTGCCTCCAATATTTTTTTAAATGCCTCGCCCATTATTTGTACATGGGGTTTATTATTGCCCCAGTTCTTAATGAGGGTGTCTATCCACTGTAACTCCCTCAGTTTTCGTTCTTCAAGGTTTTCATTGGCTTGAATAATCGGTAATTCTTGTGACGTTTCTAACTCCGTTACTGCTTCTTCTTCTCGATGCTGCTCTTCTTCCTCTTCTTCTCCATGCCGTTCGTCTCCTCCTTCTATTTCTTCTTCTATGTCTGCTTCCCCTTCTTGTTCCGTAATATCCATGTTTTCCACTTGATCCAATAATAAAAAGAAATCGTTTAACAGTTCCTGATTAATTGGTTCGCCATTTATTGTATGGATTAGTTCGCTTATTTCCGAATCTATTGTTGTGTTCAATGCATCTTCCGAAGAATCCTCAGAGTCTTTTGTAAAAATTTTGTTCCAGCCATTCTTAATATCATTGCTGGTGACATCTTCCCAGGCATCGCGAACTAAAAATATACAATCTTTTATTGTGAATCTAGAATAGAATTCATTAAGTCCACCCGGAAATGTCAATACGTGGCGCAACATTTTGTGTCTGTAACGTTTTTTTAATTTTGCAATAATCCCTTGATCCATCGGTTGTATAATTGATGTAGTATTTGGAGGCAGAAGAACAATTTCAAACTGTTCCTCTTCATCGTCTATTTCAATTATGTGGCCTTGACAATTATCAACCAGCAAAATTGTCTTCCCTTAACATTTATTCTCCAATTGATGCTATTTGACACTTGATTTAAAGTGGTTCTCATACCAGTCTGCAAAAATTTGTCTATTGACCCAAGCCTGCTTTTGGAACGTATAGACTACTGGTAACGTGCCACAATTTTTTAAGGCTCTCGGATTTTGATATTTATAAATAAATAGAAGTGGCAATTTGTGTGTTCCAGTCGCATTAGCACACAAGCCAATAGTGACGCGGTCTTTTTTCATTTGTTTGCCTTCAATTTTGTGTTCTTTACCATGGACCAAAGTTTTCGAAGGAATAGCCTTCCACATTAAACCACTTTCGTCCATGTTATAAATATTGTGTTCCTCGATGCCTTCTTCCTCTACTTTCTTGGCAAAGTTAATTAAAAACCGTTCTGCACTTTCTTCATCTGCACTTCCTGCTTCCCCATGCACATGAAGTAGACGAATGTTGTGCCGTCTTTTAAATTTTGTCAGCCAGCCTCTACTTGCCGTAAACGACGACGTTCCACCAATTTCGTTGTAAAGCTCCATTGCCTTTTCCTGAAGCAGGAGGTCCGGCAGTGGACCTCCTAACCTTCGTCTTTCAAGGAACCACTTATATAAACTGCTATCAAGGTCGTCATGTTTTGGTTTCCTCTGGTTTTTCCATTGTAATATTTGGGACCCCTGATCTGCAAAATTACGGATATTCGTTCCTTCCCTACGAATTCTCCGAACTGTGCTCTCATGAACACCATATTCTTGGGCCAAAAATTTAACCGAAGCACCAAATTCTAAATTGTCTAAAATGTCAGTTTTTTGTTTCAGAGACAAAAAGATTCTCTTTTTGTCAGTTTTGTTGGCAGCCATTGCCACTGACACGTCAATTCACTCACGCACCAGATAAACACAAAGATATAAAAAAAATGTGTGTGTTTCGGCCACGAACAAATATTCACAGGTTACAATCGTCAACTGCCTTCCCGTTCTCAATTTTCCCATAAGGAAACCTCGGTTTCCCCTGCCAAGGTGACAACGACGAACATTGTATACCGGAGGGAGGATTGGTCAAGCCAATCCTCATCATCGTCACCTTGGCAGGGCGGTTCCTAACAATTTGCAACATTCCCGCCTATCCTGCCGTCCAGTGTCCAGATAGACCATGCAGGAGTGAGCGAGAACGCTGCATTATTATTAACTTTTGATAATATATATATATAATTTTCGACTCGGTCTTCTGCACTTTACCACGAATCCCGGCCATCCCCTTACAATTTCAGAAGTGGGATTCAGTGCAGTCGTTTTCGCAATTTTTAGATTTACGCGAAATTTAATTTACGTGGCAGAAGTTTAGTTTACGTGATAGAAGTTTAGTTTAGGCAAAGTGTACGTACCGTATAGTTAGGAAATGAGTACGCTTGCGGTAGCGGAACTGAAGGAGAAGTTGAAGGTTAGGAATTTGCAAACAACCGGTACAAAAGCCGAGTTAATAAAACGATTAGTGAGTGCTGGTGGCACACTAGAAGAATTAGCCATGACGGAGGATGCGTGGAGAGAGGAACTGGAGACGGGGCCGAGGGACGAGATTCACCACCATCCCCTTATGAGAGCATCGGTGAATGAGATAACCGCCCGCGAATTAGACATTTTAAGAAGAGAACGAGATGCAGCCACGCGGGAGAACGAGCTGCTTAGGAGGGAAATGGCATTGTTACGGATGACGCCAAGGTCGGAAATAAGCGCGTCTGAAAGAACGAGTGTGAGGAAGTGGCAAGAATTGAAAGACATAGTGGGCGAATTTGGTGGGAATAGTCTGGACTTTGACCGGTGGGAGAAGCAAGTGAGAGGACTCCTGTCGACGTACGAGCTGGACAACCACCAAGCGAAAGCTTTAGTGTGCAGCAGATTAACGGATCGCGCGCGGAAGTGGTATCAATCAAGAATGGATTGTGTAGAATTAAGCGCCGAAGAGCTTTTAACCCCTTAACCTACAACTACGTGTGAGACACGTAGTCTTCTATTCGGACCAAAACTGATTACCACGGGCCTGGCTCCGTAGTACATTCGGTCGGGCCAAATGTAAATACTACGGGCATAGCTCGTGGTACATCGGTTGGGCCAAATGTAAATACTACGGGTATAGCTCGTGGTACAACGATCGCAGTTTGTAATTTGCCTCGCCACGAACAGCACAGACCAGGCTTGTGATACGCACGTTCGCACTTTGAAATATATTTTCTTAAATATTAGAAAAGTATCCCCCCAAGATGTTTTCAAAAAGAAAATTTTGTGATGGGAGCAGTGAGAGCTATGTTGATACTTCTGCTGCTGAAAGTGAGAATACTGACATTATACGTTCTGTACAAAAAAAATGCAATCGATTAGTATATGATGATACCTCTGACGAAGATCAACTACCAGAACCCTGGATTTGGAAAGAAACAAGAAATAATCCAAAAATCTGTTATTATACGATGACTCCTGGCATAAAAGAGGCAGCCTTACGTCAGTTAGGAGGAAATAAAAGAGAACTAGATATATTTAATATAATTGATAACATGATCTGGGAGAATATTGTAACCGAGACTAATCGATACGCAGATCAAATACGAATCAATCCAAACAGAATCCGAAAAATCGACGACACTTGGTTTCTTGTGGATTCTAATGAAATTAAAAGATATTTTGCATTGACCATAATAATGGCTCAGGTGAAAAAACCAAGAATTCAAATGAATTGGTCGAAGAGGGCTATTATAGAAACGCCCATATTTAGAAAAGCAATGCCGCTAAAAAGATATCTGCAAATTACAAGATGTTTGCATTTCGCAAATAATAATCCGATTACCAATAGAGACAAATTGTGCAAAATAAATCCTGTGATTAACTTTTTGAATCAAAAATTTAAAGAAGTATATACAATGAAAAAGGACATTACTATCGATGAATTGCTCATGAAATTTAAGGACGCTTATCTTACAAACAATTTAATCCATCAAAAAGGGCAAGATTCGGTATTAAATTTTATAAATTATGTAAATCAGATTCAGGTTATTGCTATGACTTTAAGATATATACAGGCCATGATAAAATAAATTGTGATGATAGCGCCTCTGAAAGTGTTGTCAAAGAGTTATCACAATCAGTGTTGCACAGAGGTCACACTTTATACATAGATAATTGGTACTCTTCGCCAAAATGATTTATGACACTATCGTTCAATTATAAAACAAATGTCATTGGTACAGTACGTGCGAATAGAAAGAATATGCCAAACGATTTGTGTAAAGTAAAATTAAAAAGGGGGGGCATACACAATGAGAAGCTGCAATCAAATACTCGCTGTAAAATGGAAAGATAAGCGAGATGTTCATATTATGACTACAAAACACGAAACAGTAGAAATGACTACGCAAGGATTCAATCGTACTTCGAAACCAAATTGTGTTATCGAGTACAATAAGGGAATGATTGGAATTGATCGACAAGATCAAATACTAGCCTGCTTTCCAATCATGAGAAAATATATGAAAGGATACCGAAAAATTTTCTTTTATCTGTTCGATATTGCTCTTTTCAATTCGTACATTTTATTCAACAAAATAAATAGCGGGAAAAACAAAGTTACGTTGATTATAGAATCGAGATAGCCGAATTATTACTGAAGAATATACCAAAACCAGATTATAAAGGACAAGGACAATTATCGTGCGGAGATATACCAGAGAGACTGCACGCGAAACATTGGGCTCATTTTCTTAAACATATTAACCCAACAGCATCAAAATTAAAGCCATCAAGACCTTGTAAAGTTTGCACGAAAAATAAAAGACGTAGTGAAACAACGTGGGAGTGCAAGAGGTGCAAAGTTCCATTACATGTACCAATATGTTTCGAACGATATCACACCATTGGAGATTATTAATTTTTGTTATTGTTATATTATTGTTATTTTTGTATTTGTTATGTTATTAATTTATGTTATATTTTAGTAATTGACAATAAACTTTTTGTGGTATATCTACCACAATTATTACATCAGGTTGTAATTACTTATTAAATAGTCCACAAGATTAAACCAGTTGTACATTCCGTAAGTCGTGCGCGTTTAGTACAACTTAGGACCGATTTGCCGAACCGCGAAATGACTCGAAGGCTGCGCGATCTTGTTGACGCTTTGGGCCCAGGCTGTTGAAACATAAATCGTAGGTTAAGGGGTTAAGGGAGTTAAAGAGGATGTACGGGCAACGACCGGATCCTTTACGTTTGAGACGCGAGCTCGAAGCGAGAAGGTGGGACGCGGAAGAACCTTTCGCTGACTATGTGCACGATAAAATAATTCTGGCGAACCGTGTGCCGGTTTCAGAAACGGAATTACTTAGTTATGTTATTGACGGTATACCAAATAGAGAGCTGCAAACACAGGCAAAGATACAGCGCTATGAATCCGTGGACGAAATGCTGACGGCCTTTACGAACGTCAGGTTGCCGACGGGAAGATCCCGGCAATCGGAGGGGACCCATAGGCCACACATGCGTCACCGAACGGCAGGTACTTCGGCCGTCGGATCGGGAAAACCACCGCCGAGGGAGGAACACGGATCGGCACGGGCCGAAAGAAGATGCTTCAACTGCAACGAACCAGGTCACTGGTTAGCCGATTGTACGAAGCCAAGGAGAGAAAGGGGATCGTGTTTCACGTGCGGACGGATGGGACACCGAACGAGCGAATGCAACGCACAAACGGCGAGGAGTGACGTCAATTACATCGCACGCGGGTGGAACGAAGACGAAGATTTTCGGCGAGCGGTAGAAATACAGATAAGTAGCGAGAGCGAGAGTTTTAACGCCAAAGTAAATGCACTTATCGATTCGGGGAGTCCGATTTGTTTTGTTAAAGAAGGATGTATCCCGAAAGCGTGTTTTACGATCGATCGCGAGATAGATAGGTTTCACGGAATAAATGGTAGCGACTTGAAAGTGTTAGGAACGACGCGAGCCACGATTATTTACGATGCCGGACAATATCACGTTAGCCTGAGAGTTGTACCGGACGGAACGATGAAAAATCCTTTAGTTTTGGGGCGCGATTTCATGAAAATTGCCGGGCTGTCGTTGAGTAGGAGAGAAACGGAAGAACGCGACGAGATAGCCGATATAATGAATATTGAGGTAGATCATGAGAGCAAGAGCGTTAGCGCCGATGGTATGCGCTTTGACGAGAGCCTTTCAGCTGAGGTGAAATCACGAGCACAGGAATTATTTAAGAAAACGTATATTAATGTGCAGAGACCCGCGGAACCGAGCGTAGAAAATACGATGAAGTTGACGGTTACGAGCGACAAACCTTTTTCGTTTTCACCGCGTAGATTATCGTACGACGAGAAGAACAAGTTACGTTGCATCCTTGACGGGTTATTAGGAAAAGGGGTAATCAGGGAGAGCACGTCCGAATACGCGTCTCCTATTGTGTTGACTAAGAAAAAGAACGGGGAAGTTCGAATGTGTGTAGATTTCCGGACACTGAATAAAATTACGGTCCGCGATAACTTCCCGCTCCCGTTGATCGAAGATCAGTTAGATTTACTGGAGGGCAAAAAGTATTTTACGGCGCTCGATCTAAAGGACGGGTTTTTTCATATCAAAATGGACGAGGAATCAATTAAATTTACATATTTCGTTACACCTTTCGGGCAATATGAATATATAATACAAGGATGCACTTCGGGTTAAAAGGCGCGCCTCTTAAATTTCAAAG